AGATATCATGTGACCGTGAAATAACCAATGAAAGCATGTGCTGTTGAGAAAGAATTTCCAGCTAAAAAAAGGACGGAATTAAGATCCTCTTTGTCTAGCCATTGCAGCCAGTGCTTAATATCAAAGTTTGTCTTGTAACAGGACAAGCAGGGCTAAGGTTAGGAATGAATTACCTATAACATCCCTGAAATTTACAAATGGTTGTTTCTGGCAAGGCCGCCTTTAGCCAGTAAAATGTATTTTAGTGACCAGTCCAAGGTGAATGTTATTAATGAATTTAGTAATCTAAACATTAATTTCTTAATATTTTAATTAGTAATAATTATAGATTCAAGCATACAGTCTGCTATTTTAACAAACCAGCATAAGCTAAATTGGATTTGCTTGAATAAGCATAATTGCTCTTAATAATAGAAATGATTAAAGTAATTTTAAACACATAATTTGATAAATTTATTCAATACAGACAGAGCAAGAATGCCATAATTTGCCAAACATGTATAGACGGATACTGGGTTACAGACTAATAAATAGTACCCTTTAAAAACCTTAACTACTTTAATCAAAAATCCTGCATGCCCTTTATGTTAAAATGAGTAGTGAAAGTTAAAATATAATTCATAATATATAATAGATAAAATTGCACTAATGCATGTACATAAACGGTGGCTTCACTTTCAGTCTTTCATAATTAAATTATTTTCAAAACCCAGTATCCAAGACATATGCTTTGTATGCATTGCATGCCTATGTCATGTGATTTATTTACCGTCAAATCAGAGTTCTGTTCAACATGGAATCCAGTTGATGGCACAGAACCTTTAGTCATGACCTGATGAAAAGGTAATATTAAATAACGGAGAGTGCTAGCATCAAAGGGGCAGTGTCATCACCCAGAACATTTAATGTTAATCCTTCATCTGCTTGGAATCTAGCACAGGTGTTTATGTCACTGAGGATATATCAGCAGTTCCGTGGTAGTACAAAAAGTTTTCATGATACAGTTGAAGCTCCTAGCTGCTAGACTATGAGAAGTCCCTCATTTTCCCTCAGATCAGGGATAGTAGAGCGAGCGAAACGCTCTCTCTCCCCGCTGTGTCTCGCTTTTCTTGAGTGGGGTGATTTTCATGGGCACTCATATTTCAAAGGCCAAATGGTGTAGTAACAGTGTGGTTGTTGTTTGTTATGCTGCCCACCTCTTATGTCGTTATAAACAGACCTGAAACTGTGTCAAAGTCAATTCACTGAGTAAGGCACTGGTGTACGTAAAATAATCCAATTTAATTGGATTTCATATCATGTTATGTTTCATTTCAAAAGGCTCAGAATTATTGTCTAGTAGAATACTTCTTAAATAAAAACTGCAAGATAGGACTAGTTTAAGAAATTAAGCTTTGATTTACAGTCAAACCTACAATAATGTAAACACCAGAAATATTTCTGAGAAGTTGAGTGCAAGGAAAAAGCCATTCAGGCATGAGAAAACTAAACTACAAGCACCAACATCAATTAGTTTGTGGTTTTGTGGCTAGTTCATGTGTCCTGATCTTTGCTGTGATTGGTTGAAACACCATAAATATTCCCTTAGCTGATCTTTCAAGTGTTGACGGATTTGTCAGTTTGAGTGTAAGTTCACAATAAAATTTATATTTTGCTAGATCAGTGATTATAAGTCACTATATTTTAATAATTATAGAAAAACTAAGTTATGAAGTATCTGCGAAGAGGTTGTTTAAAAGAATTGTTTTACTGAATGTGTTCTCAAGGTGAACATGTTAAGCAGAGCTAAGTAATTATATTTGAGACTCAATTCATGTAAACAGGGTACTGGTATATTTTGGATAAATAGTGGTGCATAAATTATTATACAAGTGGTATGGTATGCTTTGCTATATTAGTCCTTCATGGATACAAGACTGTGCAATCTATTAACATCAGGTAGACAAGTACTTAGTCAGCTAGATGTTAGTTATGATTGAGCTTTCTTCTGGAAAAAAACTAGTGTGGGTAGTCTGAATCTACCTTTGGTAAACCTCAGTGAAATAGTTATTTGTGTATGTGTAATAAGCATGTGATCAATAATCAATGATGTAGGAACTGCTCGTAAGGAGTTTTGATCCGTATTGGTTGCAAAAAACAATAACACATCATTGTTTATCATTATTTCCCATTGTGTCACGGTTAGGGTATTGAACCAATCGGCTTTTAGGGTTAGAAGAGCTGCTACGTGACCACTAAAGAATTCTCGAGCCTGATAAGAGAATTATGATCATGTTATCGGAAATTTATTTTGTCACAATTTACATTGTCTCCATTGAAATATTGAATAGTAGTAACAACTGGCTTTAATTTTTGGATTAGGATAACTTAGAATTCTTTTGAAACCTTTTAATTTCATTAGACAAAAGGTTCACTGTCTTGTACCAAAGCATCCATATTCCCCCTTTAGGGGGTTATTGGTTTGTACCTTACTTCCCCTCCCCCCTTCCCCCTGGAAATTCCATTGGAGTTTGTCAATTTCCTAGCCCCCTCCCCCTGAGGAATGTCCAATGACTCTCTGTTGGGTGAGTAGGGATATTTCCTGGAGTCACACTGTTCCAGGTGCAGGGTCAATTGCAGGCGACAAGAGGAACCTGCAATCCTAATCTCCACACATGCGTCACATGTATGTACCCAGCATTCGTTTGGACTTCCACTAAGAATAAATGGATGCTCAGAAAGCAATTTGAACTTGCGTGTTTGGACCTTCTATCATTCATTATATGATGACGCATGTTTTGACCATCTGTCACTTGAAACTTACACAAAGCACAGCGTTACAGTAAAAGCATTTTGACTTTTGATTGTGTCGCCCGCACTCTGTAACCTTTGGTTATAACTAGTTTGCATGCCGGTATTTTTAAGCTTTTCCACACAAGAAACATACTTTGTGGCTTTTTTGGTGGTCCACTACTTTACTCTGTATGTTTTCAGTCATTTTTTTTTCTGAGTATCTAATGAGGAGACACTTACTGTTTGCTTTCCTTTTTGTCTTACTTTTAGGACTGTGAAGCCCCATTGTCTTCGGAAAAAGGTGGATCTGGGTGCTACCCACTTGATGGACACCTTCTGTGTCAAGATTGTAATACCAAAAGGGTTCAGAAGATGACAGCAGAGTTAGATGCTAAACCAGCCCGCCCCTTGACTACTGAATTATAAAATGTCAAAACCTGGCACTAGACATTATTGTATAGAGGAGCAATGTGACGTAGCAAATTAATTCAAGTTTCATACAGTAGTTGTATTGCTACAGGACACCTTTAGAATATTAGTTTATTATGATCCTTATTTTTTAGAAACTAGTAACAAAATAAATATTTCATATTAAACTTCTCTCAAGCAGCGACAAATACAATTGTTGTTTTGATGGTGTGTTGTTTTTTGTGTTATTTTCTGCTGTAATTGTCAACACAGACAACTAGCAGTTACAGCTGCATCAAGAATATTAAGATTTGATTGTTAATTTTAGATTCATAGTTTGTTATATTAGAAGCTGCAAGTCTGATTTTTCTCAACATAATTTCTCTGGCAGCAAGAGATGTAAATGTGGTGATTTTTATAATGTTGTTCTTTGTAAATTGTTTTGTTTTCCTTTTTTTTTGCTAGCCATCTAACATTTTGCAGTTCAAAATGAAACAGTTAATCAAATAGTTATAGGTCAAGTTGTTTTTGGTGGTGAAAAGTCTTTGCTCTAATTGATTTCTGTATCCTCTTGCTTTTCCAACCCTTCCGATCCCCCACTCCCCTAGAATGTGTAACCTCAAATTGCCAAGTTAATTGTGCAAAATATCTTTAAAAAAACAATACAATGTGCAGGAACAGGTCTAGGATTTTCACTGGGTTGGGTTAGCCTTAAGGTACAGTAAACCCAGCAACAAAAAACTGGCAAATTGTTTTGGGACGTGCTGCAATTGAGTTGAATGGTGATGTTGCGCGTGCCATACAGGTTCGAATGTGGGTGCTAAAATACACAGCATAGCTATTTAACTCGTTTTACAGCAATGTTGCAAAATAAGTTGCACGTTTGCTGTTGCCCATTTTGCTGTACTTTTAGAAAAAAGTTGTTTCAGAAGTGATGAACATGTATTGGGGAAGAAGAGGAGTGAAGCTGGGGAAATGATGAAGTGGGTGCATATGCACCCAAGATTTTCGCACCGTTGCATGTGAAAAAAAATGCTAAATAGGTTTTGTTTGATTTACCACAGGATTTTCCTGATTTATTCTGGGAGTGAAAGGCTTGTCAAGAATTTTTTGATTTGCTGTTTCTTTTACCCGATAAAATAGGGGCTTAGGCAAGTATCTCTTAAAAGAAGGAGAAGGAAGTTATCAAAACAGTTGTGTATGTAATGTCTGTTTTTTAAATCTCCTTGCCATTCTACCCTACAAGGACAAGAAACGTAGACAAGGAATATTACTCCACTTTGTCTCTCTTCACCCAGGTGTATAAATGGGTACCAGCAATATACTGCTGGGGGGTAACCCTGCTATGGACTAGCATCCCGTCCAGGGGGGAGTAGCGATACTCCTAGGCATGCTTCATGTTAAGGAAACGAGGATTAAGCTCCAGTCATTTTTGGCCTTTGGCCCATGTGCGCCTTTACCTTTTTACATTACCCTTCTGCACCACAAAGTGTAACCTCCCCTCCCCTTGGCGATACTTTTGTGTTTTCCTGCTTTTTCACTTGAATCTCTATCGTTCGAGGTCTTTTGTTTCAGAAAAAAGTTTTTTGGTGGAGTGTTTATCAAGGATTAAGACTGTCTGCATTGCAGGTCAATTATTATAACTGGCTGACAAGAAAAATGTCGTCATGGTACTTTCCAACTTTACACTTTATTATTTTGGTTCAATGATTTTTATTTTCAACTATTTGGTCTGGCACCTGTAGAAGGAAGTACATAATTGCAGTCTAGCTGTTCCAAATGCACTGCTAACACTAACCTGAAATCAGGTGTTTTTTTTGTCTCCCAAATAAAAAAGGAAAGAGGATCGCCTGATCACAGGTTATGCTATTACTTGCTGAAAATTCCAATCATTTTCCCAGCCATACTTGATAACAGTAGCATAAGATTTATCTCTTCACCAAAAGGCCAGTTTTAATTCTTCCAATTAGTTACTGCAAATTGGTTATTTTCCTTGTACCATTTACATGTTGAAGTATTCCCAGAACATGCATAGAAACCATGCAGGAGTACATGCACCTGCTTGAAACTTGCTAGCAAAGCCATATTGATCTAGCAGAAGTTTACTGGCAATCTTGCCTGGCAACCAAAGTAAAGGCTGATAATTTGTAGTTTAAAGCGAGTTAATCGGAACAACAAGTTCATAATCACCCCCACTGTAAATGAGCCATCTGACAGCAGTATTGTGGAACACTTCCACATTAAAACCATCAAGGTTATTTTTCTTTATCTGATGCATGTTTGTTTCCATGATAAGCTTTGTTGAAGTCATTCTTCATCTATTTCAATGGACATAATGTGTTTTCCTGGTACCATGGCCAGCCCAAGTATTCTTGGTTCCTCTTTTTCATCTGCCACCAAAAAAAGAAAGAAAATAGATAATGGAGCCATAAGAGGAATCAAACACTGTTTTCACTTCAACATCATAATGCTCTGTACTTCTGATTGACCCAAACTTCACCGCAAACCATAAGCAGCCTTATGAGAGTTTATGCATCACATTTCATGTATACAACAAACTTTTTTTGCAAAAATAGACTTCACATTTCTTTAAGAATTATTACTCATTTGAGAAATTGACACACACTAGACTCAGTGGTTCATCACATATCCAGACACTTCCCAAAATTTCAATGAAAATACCGGAAAACTGCATTTCATTCTTAACAAATGACTGCAGACACCTAGAAGATAGTCTAAGACACACGCCCCTTGCTCTTTGAAATAACCAGGAACTTTGTGTGCAGTTATCAGATGAAACAACCCTTCATGTCTTGGATTTTTCACCTCAAGTAGCCAGCGGAACTCAAGCAGTCACTGGCTTGTTTTGAAACCCGTGTCAGTAAGTCTATCATATTGCTTCTTCCTAAGTAGCCTACACCACTGACCAAACTAAACTCTTGTTAAGGTCATCTGTAAAAAAGCACCCAAATCCTTATTCTGGGGCTCCACCTGTGTACCAAGTTTTGAGTATGCATCATGATTGGCCTGTTCAAAAAGGTATTGTCTATTTGCCAATCAGGTTGAAAGGAAATTGGAAATGCACTTCCAGTAATGGTCGATTCTGTTAGGGGCGAGAACAAGGATATCAGCACTGCTTCACAGACATTACTAACTGGGGTTAAGATTACGTCTGCAAAGCAGGGTACTTTCTATGATTCACAGAAAATCATCCCCTTATCTAGCCTGTGTAGCTAGTGGTTTGTTTGATGAGAGGGGGAAAAGCTACAAAAACCTGTGAACCTCCTTCTCCTCAGCTCCTTCTCGCAGCTTCACCCCTCATCTGCATACTTGACAATCAAAACAGTCAGCTATGCAGGTTACCCCTTAACTGACTCATTGCTCATTGTCGCATTTGTCAGAATGCATCCTAATCTTGGTGTTCCTATAGTACAAAGCCACACATTTTCGAGGTATAGTGGGCGACTGCCCCACTGATTTTGTCAGGGGCATCTTGGCTGGGAACCTGGACTCCTTTTGACTCAATTAAACTTCCGTAAGTGGTACATGCAGATCTGTAATCAATGATCACCTCTAGTTTTATCACTACTCTATTTTATCACTTACCCGCTGAGCCTACAAACTCTTGACATGATCCAAGAATAATATTCCTATCACGGTCAGTACAAAGAAATGAACCAATTAATGTTCTTCCATCAGAAATCTTTATTCTCATTATTTTGTTCAGCCATGACTCTAAGAGTTGCCTCTTTTCACTTTTTTCGGAATTGTCGCAGTTGCAGTCAATCTAAATCAGAGAGAAATACAAAAAATATATATATTTATATCAGTTGGCTTATTGCGATCAATATAAAATGGATTCACATTTTGTATTTACAAAAAATGTTCCATAAGACTAATAAGATCCGTCATCTGAACCGTTTAATAATTAATCCTCAATATCCACAAACAAATTCTCCTAGCCTGCGAAAACAGCCATTTCACCTTGATCCTCGCCTACATAGTAAATTTGGTAGTCATGGGGTTCCAAATGCAAATTTGTTAAATTTTGCATTCCTTCTGGTCGATTTTGGTAAAGTGCTGTGTTCGTCCACGAAGGAGCTCCAGCAAAACTCAAATGCTGCTTCTAGAGAGGAATTCCACAATTAATATTGACTATTTTGTGTTAGAATCATCAAGCTTACATTTGACCTTGTAGCCTTTTGTCTGTCAATCAATCGTAAACAACAGCTAAAACAATGTAACTAGTCCGTCGCCCAATCAGACAGATTTTACATCATCAGTGTGGAATTTCTGTCACTGAATTGCAAACGTTCCTCCACATGAAATGTCCCCAGCAGCGAGGAGCGAGGAAAAATGGTTGTTTTCGCAAGCTAAAATTTCCAGACTGATCATCTGATCATGCATTTCTTTAAAATTACCTTTTCCCAAAAGTGACTAAGATGAGGTGTATATTTGGCCACAGAATAGACTACAATGCAATGGGGTGGGAGTTTATTTCACTCAGCTCCGTTTACATGTGATTCAGATAAATAAAGAAAAAGAGACAAATAAATACAATCATACATAAGCGAAGAATAAAATTGTAGTCACTATATAAGGATCGAGTTGGGGTTATCCAAATAGCAAATGATAATCTAGTGGATTAGCCCCAAAATACAATTACACACAACTTACCACATTAAACTGCGAGCAGTCTCTTATTTTTCTTTGCAAAGTTACTACACGCAAAACCTAAGCACGCGAGCGGCAAAGCAGAGAGCCNATCACCTCTAGTTTTATCACTACTCTATTTTATCACTTACCTGCTGAGCCTACAAACTCTTGACATGATCCAAGAATAATATTCCTATCACGGTCAGTACAAAGAAATGAACCAATTAATGTTCTTCCATCAGAAATCTTTATTCTCATTATTTTGTTCAGCCATGACTCTAAGAGTTGCCTCTTTTCACTTTTTTCAGAAATGTCACTGTTGCAGTCAATCTGAATCAGAGAGAAATACAAAAAATATATATATTTATATCAGTTGGCTTATTGCAATCAATATAAAATGGATTCACATTTTGTATTTACAAAAAATGTTCCATAAGACTAATAAGATCCGTCATCAGAACCGCAAACAAATTCTCCTAGCCTGCGAAAACAGCCGTTTCACCTTGATCCTCGCCTACATCGTAAATTTGGTAGTCATGGGGTTCCAAATGTAAATTTGTTAAATTTTGCATTCCTTCTGGTCGATTTTGGTAAAGTGTTGTGTTCGTCCACGAAGGAGCTCCAGCAAAACTCAAATGCTGCTTCTAGAGAGGAATTCCACAATATTATTAATATTGACTATTTTGTGTTAGAATCATCAAGCTTACATTTGACCTTTGTAGCCTTCTGTCTGTCAGTCAATCGTAAACAACAGCTAAAACAATGTAACTAGTCCGTCGCCCAATCAGACAGATTTTACATCATCAGTATGGAATTTCTGTCACTGAATTGCAAACGTTCCTCCTCATGAAATGTCCCCAGCGGCGAGGAGCGAGGAAAAATGGTTGTTTTCGCAAGCTAAAATTTCCAGACTGATCATCTGATCATGCATTTCTTTAAAATTACCTTTTCCCAAAAGTGACTAAGATGAGGTCTATATTTGGCCACAGAATAGACTACAATGCAGTGGGGTGGGAGTTTATTTCACTCAGCTCCGTTTACATGTGATTCAGATAGATAAAGAAAAAGAGACAAATAAATACAATCATACATAAGCGAAGAATAAAACTGTAGTCACTATATAAGGAGCGAGTTGGGGTTATCCAAATAGCAAAGGCTAATCTAGTGGATTAGCCCCAAAATACAATTACACACAACTTACCACATTAAACTGCGAGCAGTCTCTTATTTTTCTTTGCAAAGTTACTACACGCAAAACCTAAGCACGCGAGCGGCAAAGCAGAGAGCCGCGAGAAACGAGGGCGTAAGTCTGGTATCAATACCTTATTGTAATAATAACGTCGTGGTTTGAAATAGCGCTGGATAAGATAAGAACTAGACGCATTTTCAGAGAAAAGGCGGACTGCAAGCAGTCTACTTACCACATTAGCTGAAACAACAGGCTCATCACTTTCGTCAAGGGGCTGTAAATGACAGTAATAGTTCATGTAGTTGTTAAAAATACATGTCCAAAAAAGAAACAATACAAGTGAAAACAAAAATTACCAGTCCGTCCGCCATCTTTACTTGTAACAGACTGGAAGGGACTAGGTACGACACTCCCGGATGTCACTGCAATTACCCGGATATAAAACCAAATATAGAACTGACCAATCCTCTCATTATGACGTCAGACTTATTGCGTTGCAGTTTTCTCGAGGCGTCCATCTTTGTTGGTCGGTCAGAATTTTTTGTGTGGAAAAATCCCATTCCATCCATCACTGTGAACCATCTTTCCCTATTAGTATAGATACATTCCTTTCATCGTTGCCTTAGGTTTTCGCAAATCGTATATTCCCTTGTCTTTAATGCCTCTGAATCTGCAAAATATGGTTCTAAAGTTAAGAATCGCCGTCGTTTGTTCCAGCAATCAAAACCGAAGTATGGAAGCACATAATTTCCTAAGGTAAAGGGTTAGCCGACCGAAACGCGCCGGGAATATGCCTTTTATGTTGCAGTGTAATAGCTGCCAACTATTTTGGCAGGTGAAGTTGTGTCAAGGGTAAAGATGGGAATGTTTTTTGCGTTTCTTTTGTTTAATTTCAGCAAGCGAGGATTCAACGTCAAATCCTTTGGATCTGGAGTACAAGTGAAGTTGCCTGGCCCAGCCCCGGACAAACCTAACATATATTCGTTTGAAACTACCTACGATGAAATGTACCGAGATTTACTGAAAAAAGACCCTCAACTGTATCCAGTCGATTTTCGAAGTTGAAAAAAGCGTTGCTATTCGAGGATAGCACGCAATCAAAGGGCGGTAATCCGGTAAAAATTGTTCAGATTCTGTTTGCATTCCAGCACGTACGACACGCAAAAACAGTCTCCCTTCCACTACAGGTTTTATATCTTGTGTGTTTTTACTTAGAAAATAGGAAATTACGGGATTTTTTTTTTCTTGGGGGTTTTTCTAGATCACCAGGCTTTGTTTGTCAGTGGATGGTCTACTTTATCAAGTGGGTAAATTCTTAACCAGCAGTTAAAATACACATAGTAAGATACATTTTAACTGCTTGTTATGGATTTCCACAGGACTTTAAGGTTTTCCCTTCACTGATTTTGAACAAACCTACACAAGGCCAGTTGGTCGATCATTACATTGGGTAACAGGAGTGGACAGGCCTTTTATTTGTCCAGGGAGTCTGAATGTTCTTTCTTTGCAGCATACTAGGAAGATTTTTCAAGAAGAGAAAGTCCCACGTAAGAGTGTAAAGCCTGTGCAATCACTACAAAAACAAAATGAACTTTCATTGAGTGCTCAAGCACTAGGTTAAGTAATAAAATATTAAGGTAGTTGAAGGGCACAGTGCTTTACATTATTGTGGCCAACTCGGACAAAGTAAGACGACGGAGCCAGAATGGATCTGATTGGCAAAGGTAAAGCTTTTTCGTCAGACACGTTTAGTGTAAGATGTTGAAATAAGCAGTAAGTGTTTGACATTAATAAATTTTGTTATGAATCACTGTGTTTCAGTGAAGTAACCTTCTCAAAATCATCTTATTCACCTGTCCACTGAACACTCTTAAAAACCCCTTACCCTGAATGATTGTCTTGTCTGCCCCGGAATGGCCCTGGCAAAAGAGTCCATGAGACACTGTTAGTGGATTTTACCCAGGCCTTCCTATGAATTGATAGGACAAAAGAAATGAAAGGTAAAATTTACTGAATGCTGAAACATTATGCCATGAGAATTGAAATCCAATCTGTTAAGAATTAGTGTACCAATCAACTTTGAAAAAACTGCTGATAATCCCAGTCAGTCAAACAAAACCATTGCCCAAAAAGGCCAGTAGTAAGCAGTCAAAGCATTTTATTTGAAAGCAACTATCTTGGCTCGATAAACCAAGACCCGTGTTATGGCATCTTTTTGGAAGATCATTGCTATACCTGGATGACTGAGGTCACAAATTACGCCTAAGAGGTTATCCCTTACACTGTCACTCCCCTGCGCTTTAACAAAATAAAAAATCAAATATTCTGAAGCCAAGTTGTCAACTTAGGAGGTTCATTGATTGCCTCCATTTTTGAGTTTCCAAAAAAGAGTGCCAGTTTTGCCCTTAAAGAATATAGTGTCTCCTGCATGCGCAGTCAGCCTTGAATGGAATCACATTTAAAGAGACACTTGAAAAACAGACCAGAGCTTACAAAGCAGTTAAGTGAGCAGAATTTTCAACAGGAGGATTGGAAATTACATTTGTCTACTTCTCGGTTTTGAGTGACCAATGAGTACAAAACTCTTGAGGTCTAAGAAGCAGTTGCTGCACACAAGCTGCACAGGTGTGAACCAGTTTTCCAATTCAGCAGCGCAGAAGTGGTGAAAGGCTAACAAGCATCGAGTTCTGTACTTTGGTTGTTGATGAAAAATATATGCTTTCAACTCTTGCTCATTGCAAGAAGTGGACCTGGTTACCAATACTTCTCTTATATTGAAACCTTTCTGATACCACATCAGCTCACTGTGGGGAAAATCTGCTGGTGCTTGTTATGAAATTTTTTTTTGATCCTGTAATCCAGTGACTTAAATGTTTGCAGCTCATCTCTGCGGAGCTTTCCTGTTCTCTTTTGTTTGTTTGTTTTTTTTGGCTAATTTTTGCCAAAAAATGATCTATGTATAAAGCTGTGTAAATGCCACGATAAAATATTCATCAAGTTGTCGTGAAGAATTCAACATAACCAATGGGTTGCGTCACAAATATGTTGCACTAAATCAAGGAATTTTTCAAAGTGACCCTCCTCAAAATCATGATGCTTGTGGCTTGTTTTTTAATTTTCAATGCACGTACACAGTTGACTAAAAAAAAGCACGATTATCTTGTAATTAATTGCAATTTGATATGCAACTGCTTCTGTCCAGCAGTTCACATAGATCTTTCAGGCACTTTTTATAGGTAATGAATTAATGTCATTGTACTTAAGTCTGTCCAGAAAACAAAAAACTAGAGTGGGAATCCTGTGTTGACCCCTGCTAGAGGAAGTTTATTGTGCACATATACATGTCTCCTGTCTTGGTGAGACTTGTTGAAAACCAGTAAACACATTATTCGAGTTAAAATATTTACGGTTGCATTGTTTGGTAGTTGGAAATTTGCATAATGATGACAGAGACCATCAAACTGCCTCCTACAGTGTTGGTTTCATTTCTGGTCCTAGGCATTCTACTGGTTCTCTGACATCCTGGTTTTCACCTTTCTGGAATTAAATTGCTACCTTGGAAAAAAAATGTCAACCTTAAAACGTTTTCTTGTCACATGTTAAATCCACCACATATTGATGACTGTTTAACTTGAGTAGGGGAGCAAAAGGTATTTTATGTTTTCAAATTTGGCTATTTTCGGGCTTTGTCCTGGCAAGCTTTATCTATTTATTTTTCTAGATATCACACTTTCTTTTTTTAATGTTTTGTTTTGGACCAACATCAATGCAGTTATTCACACAGCATTCAGATTCTGCTGACAAAATTCCCAGAAAGAATTTGTTTGGGTTGCAGTTTTCACCAATATTTATAAACATTTGCAGTTTTGGGCAATTTTTTTTGTGGTTGAGCAGTTTCTGAAATTTATTCTGAAGGGCTTCAATGCCCCCTTCTTTAGGATCCATGGACAGATTTCTTTCTTCTTTTCCAATTGAAGCAAATAATATTATTGTATTAGGCATGTTTATTTGAGAAATAAAGTGAAGGTTTCTTAATGTGATCAGTAGGAAATGGTTCCTCAGTGAATGTTGCAATCCTAAGCTCCAAGTCTGTCTTATTTGAGGCCTCAATGAATTCTTTGCAAGTGCAAGTTATTTCTAGTACCTGCTGTTATGTCAAAATTTATTCAATTCGAATTCTGTTTTCTTTGTTTTTACTGGAACTTTTAAATGACATTATTGACTTTGGCTCGTGGGCTTGATTATCTGTAACAACTGTGTGAAGTGGCAGGCTTACTCATGCATGTGCCTGTGAAATATTAGATTGTTGAATCAGTTTGTTCTACGAAGTAATGACAACCATAGCCTAGAGTCCCAAAAAATTATTGCCGGGCTTGTGGCATTATATTATACTCAGTCTCAGTCGAGTGACAGGTGTCTTGATGCACCCACAGTTATTAACAGTGCCTAAGACTCCTTTAACCAATCAAAAACAAGCTAGTCAAAATTTGTAGGGCATGAATTGGTAGAATTTAAGCAATGCTGTTCATACTTTGTTCTTTTTGTCATGGTAGTACTGTATTTGAAATTGGCCATTTGCAATTAGCAGTAAATTATATTTGAAAAATATCAAATGCATCTTATCATTTTTTGTTTAGTTATGACATCACAGACAAGCAGCACAACCCTTGCCGGCAGCCATGGGGTGGGGTGAGTCACTGGTGTGGTGACCTTCACAGGGAGGAGCGCCTCCTAGTCTCAAAATTATTTTCGGTCAGTGTGTCAGCAACCACAGGTGGAGATCAGCCATCTGTGTCTTAAGTTATGTCATCAAAATGGCATTTTTCCTTCTAACAATGCCTTTGATTGCTGTACCTTGCTCATCAGTTGCCACATTTGTTACCAAAGCCAGCATAGCTTGTGTGTGAAAAGTGCGAACCTGCTATAGCCTTCCCGTCTTTTAATGTACTTAATAAAATAATATTATTTTACTTGCCACACAGTTCATGTATCACTTCATCAGTTCTGTGCACTTGTGTATTTAAATTCTGGATATTTCTTATAAAATAGTTATGTTTTTTTGTGCTGAGTGGTGGTGATCAGCAAGTCAGAGTTATTACTTTATTAAGGTGCAAAATACCCATCACAAACCATGTGCTATCCATTGAGCAGAACAGATTAGCAGAGGAATTGCAAGTTGTGCAAGTCTAAATTGAACTCCTTGCCACTTGCTCAAGAAATTCACCAGAATCAAAAATGCTGGAGAGTCTTCTGCGCCTGCATTGGATTGATCAGCCACAGCCAAACGCACTGCACTGCTATGACAAACAACTACATCCATTTAAAGAAATCAAGTTATGAAGGACTTATTATTGTAACTATTACCCAGAAAGTTTTGGATTGTAGACAAACATGAAGAATTTGCATTTTTACGACATCACACATTTTGTCTGTATCACCAAAACTTTTGCCATATAATGACAGTGGTGTGCCATTTTCCTAATGTCAACCATGGCTATATGGGAAAAAAATGACCTTACCAAGTGTCAACTATTAAAGGACCTACAGTTGCTTCAAAGTTTAATGAAATCGCAGTGAAAGCTAGTGCAAAGCTCCTCCCATTTATTTGTCCAAAGAAAAACAACAAGGCGGTGGTTTCTGGAGGGGAGCATTGCGTGACAACACAAAAAACAGCTGTGGAGCAAACTAGTGGTGAAGATGTCTTGATCCTCCATGGGGTACCAATAGCTTCACTGGCAATCTGACTTGTTTCAGGATAATTCTGAGAAAACAACTGTACACAGAGCTCTAGACTGACAAGAGCAAAGAATTTCCAATTCCAAGGGAAAGAATGATGTCAACTTAGTGAAGGAATTGCCTTGCGTCAAACAAAAGAAGAAAGAGCTGTTAAGTGGTCGTGGAGAAAGTACTTCTGAGAGCAATTAAATCAGCCCTTTAGATCAGTAACTTACAAGTGTCGCTTCAGAGTCCAGACAGACCTGGAAGTTAAAAGAGATCTTAATGAGGAAATGACAGAATAATGCATCCTGATGAACTGAGGTACCCTCCAAAGGTAGAAGTACAGTCAAGTGATGCATACTTCAATAATTTTGCTTCTGGATGGAATGTTTGGCTGAGGATCTAATGCAGTAAAGTTCTGTTGCGACAGATTATGTGGTGATGAAATCCCAGACTGCCTTCTTTACATCCTTGATTAACACAGCCAGTTCCCAAAGATTGTGCAGCTGGTGGAAGAAAAAGTGGTTCGCCTCGTAACTCCCCCCGCCCCTAAAGACAGAAGTGACAGGACATTTAACACCAGGAAGTGCAAAAATCTTTTCCTTGTAGGATAAAATGCTACTCCAAAGACTTATTTTATTTTTGTTGAGGGTGACTGGGTGTTTTTAATGTTAAAGCAGGGTTCATTTTGCAAGTGCAGACCAGATGTTTTGTCACTCTAACCTTAGTCCTAATCCTAACACTTCCGGGTTACACCCTCATGATCACCTGCACTGACAAATTCAAACCCAGGGTTGTTTATGAGAATTTTTTGGTGGGATCAATCCAAAGTGTTACCCAGGGCATTTAGGTAATAAATCACATAAATAAGATATTTTTCTTGTCCACTCTGCAATTATACATTTTGGCCGCATAACAGGCATTTTTGGTTTTTTGTCAAGTTTCCTGGAAGTGAAGAGGTCAAATGAGATAACGATAGTGAAGGGGGCAAGAGAAATAATTTTTCCCCTCACTCCCTCCCCACTTACTTTTTTGTTTGACCTCTGGTTAGCTTTCATGAGGCTTTGTCTTCTGCTTTGCAAACCGCAAATGAAAGACAGACGCAAAAAACCACCTGCTATGCAGGCTGATCGGCACAGCTGTATCTCATAGCTCTCTGTTGTTGGTCACTTTTCATGAAAAAATCTCCATTTTGGCCATGAAAATTCCATACTGATGACATAAGTCAATTATAAATAAATGATTAACCAGGAATTCATGGGGTTTCGGATGTAATTTTTTTTTACTTTCGTTTTCTCCTTGCTGTGAATAAAAATTTTAAAAAAATAATTAATTCTGCAGCAAATTTGCCATCAGCAATACAAAAACGTCTTGTAAAAGCAAAATGATATGTTTCTAGCAAATGACTTATTGATAGATTGCAGGAGAACATTTGATCTTTGTTTTTGTCTTTTGTGTGTCATTCAAAAACTTAGCTGAAAGAGATAAATTACCATGTCAACCAATCAAAGCTGACCTGATGATGATTCTGTACAGATTTAAGTCATAAGTGTGAAATTTTTGAGTTGAAAACATAGGTGTCTCTTTCCCGTGAGTGAAGAGTTTTGAGGTGGATGTATTCGCTGTTATCCTTTGGTGATATTCTGGCTCTAATGAGTGGTTTGAGGATGTAAGACATTAGCCAAGTACTTTTAGACCTACTTTGAGGTGTCTGCATTATCAGACAAGTCATTGTGTGTAGGAGGCTACAACATGTTGCAACGCACATCTAGAACTGATTAGGATACCTGATAGTCAGGATGACTCTTGCCTTAACTTGATCCCCCTTTGTAAACTTGAAGAGACCTGCCCTGCCATTACAACTACAACTGACAGAGGTGATCTGGGAAGGCTCCATTATCATCTGTTAAATGTGACAGGAGTTGACAAAACATCACAGTGCCTAATCGGGATGCCAAGCTCAATGGCATTTGCAATTTCTAAAAAACATTAAAGTAATTAAGACATTCTGTTTAAACTGAGGAAATTAATTCTTTGGGTATCATTTCCACTATAGTATTTTAAGTCCCTAATTGTGCGGATGCAAATCAAAGATTTTCATTTATTTATTTATTTATATATCAGGCCTGATGTCAGCTAGGCTAATTAGTATTGAAAGCTGTGAGTGACAGAGTGAGCTAACTTTCTTCATTTGCTTTGCGGCTAACTGGGCTTGGTTTTCTGCTGCAGGGGGTGTTGGGGATGACACCCACATGAGTGGAATGGGGATGCATGTAGGAGTTGACACTAACAGGACACTTCTAGGTGTGGCTCAGGCTTTGTTTGACCCCTGATGGAGACCATACACACCCAGACAAGAGTATGACAGTGTTTGGTTTTCTTTTTTACAAAGATATTTGTTGATGCACAACACAAAATGACTGACACCTGTATGGGTTAAAAAAATTGTTTTCTGTTCTTTACATGCAGACCCCTGAACATGCAGATCCTTGACATTCAAACACTCATGCCTTATTAACTTAATTGAATGCATGTCTCTCTTTTAAAAGCAGGACGTTTGACTGTACCTAGTAAAAAACCAAAGGGAACTATTTTAACTATGTAAGGGCTAACTAATGTGCAAGAATTTTGTACCTTCAGAGTTTCTGTGTATAGCTCAGCAAAATAGAGGTCTATTTTTTCAATTTCTCCAAAATTTAATTCAGCATTATTATTATTATTATTATTATTATTTATCATCATTAAAACATACTATACATTATTTAGTGGGGGACAGTGCAATGTATGGGGCTTGGTTTTAGTGTAGCTTTAAGGAAATGTGTGAGCATGTGTGAAAGCTCATAAATTGTTTAGTAGACAAAGAAATGGGTTCTTTCTTCGTACAGACGACATGCCTATCAGATAAGACTGACAGAAAATACCATTATCAACAAAACCTGGATTGGGTCAACCACTGTAACCCTTGCATCCCTAATTCAATCTGGTCTGATCCGGGTTTTGTTGACCCCTTACTCTAGAGTACTCTTTCCTGTTGAACGAATTTTTGAGTGGGAGAAAATTTGTACCCTTAGGTGCATCTACCATAACATAAGATAAGATGCCAGACTGTTCTAAAATTGGACACCAAAAATGTGAAACTTAAGCCAGTACCGAGTCAAAATTTTTGTACTACAAGGTGTGGTTGCATGGATTCCTGGTATTGCTCCTTATGGAGTTGCTCTGTGAATTTGGTAAAATATATAGCACAGTGCGCATGGGAAAGATGGAAAAACCAATTTTATGAATAATAAAATTCAGCCTGATTTGACTTCCATGTGAACAGAGAAAAATATTGTACTGTTAGGGTGAACAAAGTGTCTTGTCAAATTTTTTAGCCAGTCGAAAACATTTCCTGTAATTGTAGCCTTAAATTCCTCTTTGTTGATCACAAGCTGTGCAGTGTGCACAATCAGGGGTACTTTTGTACAAAAATCAGTCATCACTATTGAGTGTGTCGTACGTGCTGTAAAAAATTGTTTTAACTTTTCATGACCATAGTCCAATCTTTTTGCTACCTAATTGTTAGGTAGCAAAAAATATATGCAAAAAAAATACCCTTAACTCTAAGCCTATCAGATACAAGCAAAATGGATACTTCACATGCTTGATAGAAACAGAAGAATAAAGCCACACTGTGTGCACGATCAGGGGTACTTTTGTACAAAAATCAGTCATCACTATTGAGTGTGTCGTACGTGCTGTAAAAAATTGTTTTAACTTTTCATGACCATAGTTCAATCTTTTTGCTACCTAATTGTTAGGTAGCAAAAAATATATGCAAAAAAAATACCCTTAACTCTAAGCCTATCAGATACAAGCAAAATGGATTACTTCACATGCTTGATAGAAACAGAAGAATAAAGCCACACCCAGAGAGATTTCAGGAAACAGAGGAAGAGTTTGATCTTGTGGTTACTGTTGAGGAACGGGTCTATGACCAAGTTACAGAGCGTAAGTTACAAGATTGCCTTCCTTTGTATGTTATTTAGAAACATAATAACGTATTACCCAGGGGGGTACTCCAGGTTTCAAGTGACAGGGATGATCAAAAGGGGGCAAAAATCAAAACCCCAAAAATCCCAAGGCTTGATTTCGAGCAAAACCCAAAAAAATCCTTGTGATGTGTTGGCAATGTAATAACCAACTGTTGACCCATAGACTGTATTGGCTGACTACCATGACCTGTCTGAGACTGGACTGATACTTGACTAACACTCAACCCATATGGCGACCGATATGTTGACTGAGATATCGGCCAATACATCAGTCAACACCCCCTATAAGACATGTTTCCTCATTTCTGCAGAAGTTCCACCCCTCACAGGGCCCAGTTGTTTGAAAGCCAATTAGTGCTTCACCCGGGGTTAAATTTAACCCAGGTTTCTTTTTCTGGCATTCAAAAGCATTTTGTTGGGTAATTTTCTCTGTTATTTTTAGAGCTTCCAATCATCAACTAGCAGACAAAAAGAATTAAAACTGAAATGCTTTTTAAGCTTTCAAATCTGAATTCAACCCTGGGTTATCTTAACCCAGCTTCGAACAACTTGGCCCTGGGTTTCATCCACTAATCATGCTCCTCTGAGACACCTGCTGGATCTAATTGTTTCATTCACGTTATTTATTTTAAAATGGTGACAGTATTACTTTTTTATTATTTTGTTGGCATTGAGGGCTAATTATTATCAAGACAAAATGTTAACTTATTTTTTCACTAGTGTAGAATAAGGTGTATAGTAAACTGAACATATTATATATGTATAGAAGCTGAAACAATATTGACTCAAAATTCCTCTATAACTAGGACTTTATAGTGCCACTGCGAAGGCAAAGGCAAGATTTAACAGGGTGTCCTAATTTGCCAGAGAAGGGCCTTCAAGACGAAACCTGGATTGGACCGATCTATCCGTCTCCCTCACAGCCATTTTTAGTGTTGTCTACATACAACATTGCGTGATGACTCTAAAGCGGCTGCAAGGGAGACTGGATCTGTCCCTAACTTTCTGACACCAGCTATCCCTAACCTTCTCTCATTTAGTGAAGTATGTGTTTCTTGATGCGTACATTGGTACAGCATCTTGCACTGGATACAGTGGAACCCCACCTTATGGTCACCTCCTTATTACGGCCACTTTTTTTGGCTGCCTGGCAAAATGGCCATTTTTTTTGCAAAAAAAACCCTCGTTAATAAGGGTTACAGCCAATTTTTTTTGGCCCATTGGTGACCGTATTAATGGGGTTCCACTGTATTAGTAATAGTTTTTAATAGCAAGGAGTGTTTACCTTTTGCTACAGCCAGGTGGTTTTATCTTCATAATTTGATTCTTTTTTCTGTACAGTTGGTAATGGGAACAGGCACCCTAGCTAGCACCCCCTAGGCTACCACCCATTGCGGAATGGTTCTTTCTGAATGCCAGGATTTCCTCACTTGTTTTCCAATCATATTACCTAGTTAGTTTCTTTTTCAGTTGACATTTAGTTATTCTTACAGATCTACATTCAAGAGGAGCTCAAAACTATGCGCCAGTTCATGTTGTAAACCTGGACATTCAGGATAACCATGAGGAAGCCACATTAGGAGCTTTCCTTATATGTGAAATGTGCCAAGCTGTAAGTATGAATTCCTCAAAATGCCTCCTAGTCTCAAAATTATTTTCGGTCAGTGTGTCAGCAACCACAGGTGGAGATCAGCCATCTGTGTCTTAAGTTATGTCATCAAAATGGCATTTTTCCTTCTAACAATGCCTTTGATTGCTGTACCTTTCTCATCAGTTGCCACATTTGTTACCAAAGCCAGCATAGCTTGTGTGTGAAAAGCGCGAACCTGCTATAGCTTCCCATCTTTTAATGTACTTAATAAAATAATATTATTTTACTTGCCACACAGTTCATGTATCACTTCATCAGTTCTGTGTACTTGCGTATTTAAATTCTGGATATTTCTTATAGAATAGTTATGTTTTTTGTGCTGAGTGGTGGTGATCAGCAAGTCAGAGTTATTATTTTATTAAGGTGCAAAAATACCGATCACAAACCATGTGCTATCCATTGAGCAGAACAGATTAGCAGGGGAATTGCAAGTTGTGCAAGTCTAAATTGAACTCCTTGCCACTTGCTCAAGAAATTCACCAGAATCAAAAATGCTGTAGAGCCTTCTGCGCCTGCATTGGATTGATCATGATCAGCCACAGCCAAACACACTGCACTGCTATGACAAACAACAACATCTATTTAAAGAAATCAAGTTATGAGTGACTTATTATTGTTTCTATCACCCAGAAAGTTTTGGATTGTAGACAAACATGAAGAATTTGCATTTTTACAACATAACGCATTTTGTCTGTATCACCAAAACTTTTGCGGTATAATGACAGTGGTGTGCCATTTTCCTAATGTCAACCATGGCTATATGGGAAAAAAATGACCTTACCAAGTGTCAACTATTAAAGGACCTACAGTTGTTTCAAAGTTAAATGAAATCGCGGTGAAAGCGAGTGCAAAGCTCCTCCCATTTATTTGTCCAAAGAAAAACAACAAGGCGCTGGTTTGTGGAGAGGAGCATTGCGTGACAACACAAAAAACAGCTGTGGAGCAAACTATAGTGGTGAAGATGTCTTGACCCTCCATGGGGTACCAATAGCTTCACTGGCAATCTGACTTGTTTCAGGATAATTCTGAGAAAACAACTGTACACAGAGCTCTAGACTGACAAGAGCAAAGAATTTCCAATTCCAAGGGAAAGAATGATGTCAACTTAGTGAAGGAATTGCCTTGCGTCAAACAAAAGAAGAAAGAGCTGTTAAGTGGTCGTGGAGAAAGTACTTCTGAGAGCAATTAAATCAGCCCTTTAGATCAGTAACTTACAAGTGTCGCTTCAGAGTCCAGACAGACCTGGAAGTTAAAAGAGATCTTAATGAGGAAATGACAGAATAATGCATCCTGATGAACTGAGGTACCCTCCAAAGGTAGAAGTACAGTCAAGTGATGCATACTTCAATAATTTTGCTTCTGGATGAAACGTTTGGCTGAGGATCTAATGCAGTAGAGTTCTGTCGCGACAGATTATGTGGTGATGAAATCCCAGACTGCCTTCTTTACATCCTTGATTAACACAGCCAGTTCCCAAAGAGTGTGCAGCTGGTGAAAGAAGAAATGGTTCGCCTCATAACCCCCCCTGCCCCTAAAGACAGAAGTGACAGAACATTTAACACCAGAAAGTGCAAATAAAATGGATAAATGGATAAAATGCTACTCCAAAGACTTGTTTTATTTTTGTTGAGGGTGACTGGATGTTTTGAATGTTAAAGCAGGGTTCATTTTGCAAGTGCAGACCAGATGTTTTGTCACTCTAACCTTAGTCCTAATCCTAACACTTCCGGGTTACACCTTCATGATCACCTGCACTGACAAATTCAAACCCAGGGTTGTTTTTGAGAACTCTTTGGTGGGATCAATCCAAAGTGTTACCCAGGGCATTTAGGTAATAGGTCACATAATTAAGATACTTTTCTTGTCCACTCTGCAATTATACATTTTGGCCCACATAACAGGCATTTTTGGTTTTTTGTCAAGTTTCCTGGAAGTGGAGGTCAAATGAGATAACAATAGTGGAGGGGACAAGAGAAATAATTTTTCCCCTCACTCCCTCCCCACTTACTTTTTTGTTGACCTCTGGTTAGCTTTCATGAGGCTTTGTCTTCTGCTTTGCAAACCGCAAATGAAAGACAGAGGCAAAAAACCACCTGCTATGCAGGCTGATCGGCACAGCTGTATCTTATAGCTCTCTGTTGTTGGTCACTTTTCATGAAAAAATCTCCATTTTGGCCATGAAAATTCCGTACTGATGACATAAGTCAATTATAAATAAATGATTAACCAGAAATTCATGGGGTTTCAGATGTAAATTTTTTTTACTTTTGTTTTCTCCTTGCTGTGAATAATTTTTTTAAAAAATAATTAATTCTACAGCAAATTTGCCATCAGCAATACAAAAACATCTTGTAAAAGCAAAGTGATATATTTCTAGCAAATGACTTCTTGATAGATTGCAGGAGAACATTTGATCTTTGTTTTTGTCTTTAGTGTGTCATTCAAAAACTTAGCTGAAAGAGACAAATTACCATGTCAACCAATCAAAGCTGACCTGATGATGATTCTGTACAGATTTACATCATAAGTGTGAAATTTTTGAGTTGAAAACATAGGTGTCTCTTTCCCGTGAGTGAAGAGTTTTGAGGTGGATGTATTCGCTGTTATCCTTTGGTGATATTCTGGCTCTAATGAGTGGATTGAGGACGTAAGACATAGCCGAGTACTTTTAGACCTACTTTGAGGTGTCTGCATTATCAGACAAATCATTGTGTGTAGGAGGCTAGAACGTGTTGCAACACACATCTAGAACTGGTTAGGATACCTGATAGTCAGGATGACTCTTGCCTTAACTTGATCCCCCTTTGTAAACTTAAAGAGACCTGCCCTGCCATTACAACTAAAACTGACAGAGGTGATCTGGGAAGGTTCCATTATCATCTGTTAAATGTGACAGGAGTTGACAAAACATCACAGTGCCTAATCGGGATGCCAAGCTCAATGGCATTTGCAATTTCTAAATAACATTAAAGTAATCAAGACATTCTGTTTAAACTGAGAAATTTAATTCTTTGGGTATTATTTCCACTATTGTAATTCAAGTCGCTAATTGTGCGGATGCAAATCAAAGACTTTCATTTATATATTTATTTATATATCAGGCCCGATGTCAGCTAGGCTAATTAGTAAAGAAAGCTGTGAGTGACAGAGTGAGCTAGCTTTCTCCATTTGCTTTGCGGCTAACTGGGCTTGGCTTTCTGCTGCAGGGGGTGATGGGGACATACACCCACATGAGTGGAATGGGGATGCCTGTAGGAGTTGACACTAACAGGAGACTTCTAGGAGTGGATCAGGCTTTGTTTGACCCCTGATGGAGACCATACACACTCAGACAAGAGTATGACGGTGTTTGGTTTTCTTTTTTACACAGATATTTGTTGATGCACAACACAAAATGACTGACACCTGTATGGGTTAAAAAAATTGTTTTCTGTCCTTTACATGCAGACCCCTGAACATGCAGGTTCTTAACATTTAAACACTCATGCCTTATTAACTTAATTGAATGCATGTCTCTCTTTTAAATGCAGGACGTTTGACTGTACCTAGTAAAAAACCAAAGGGAACTATTTTAACTATGTAAGGGCTAATTAATGTGCAAGAATTTTGTACCTTCAGAATTTCTGTGTATAGCTCAGCAAAATAGAGGTCTATTTTTTCAATTTCTCCAAAATTTAATTCATTATTATTATTATTATTATTATTATTATTGTTATTATTATTTATCATCATTAAAACATACTATACATTATTTAGTGGGGGACAGTGCAATGTATGGGTCTTGGTTTTAGTGTAGCTTTAAGGAAATGTGTGAGCATGTGTGAAAGCTCATAAATTGTCTAGTAGACAAAGAAATGGGTTTTTTCTTCATACAGACATGCCTATCAGATAAGACTGAGAGAAAATACCATTATCAACAAAACCTGGATTGGGTCAACCACTGTAGCCCTTGCATCCCTAATCCAATCTGGTCTGATCCAGGTTTTGTTGACCCTTCACTCTAGAGTACTCTTTCCTGTTGAAGGAATTTTTGAGTGGGAGAAAATTTGTGCCCTTAGATGTATATACCATAACATAAGATAAGATGCCAGACTGTTCTAAAATTGGACACCAAAAATGTGAAACTTAAGCCAGTACCGAGTCAAAATTTTTGTACTGCAAGGTGTGGTTGCATGGATTCCTGGTATTGCTCCTTATGGAGTTGCTTTGTGAATTTGGTAAAATATATAGCACAGTGCGCATGGGAAAGATGGAAAAACCATTTATGAACAATAAAATTCAGCCTGATTTGACTTCCATGTGAACAGAGAAAAATATGGAACAGTTAGGGTGAACAAAGTGTCTTGTCAAATTTTTTAGCCAGTCGAAAACATTTCCTGTAATTGTAGCCTTAAATTCCTCCTTGTTGATCACAAGCTGTGCAGTGTGCACGATCAGGGGTACTTTTGTACAAAAATCAGTCATCACTATTGAGTGTGTCGTACGTGCTGTAAAAAATTGTTTTAACTTTTCATGACCATAGTTCAATCTTTTTTGCTACATAATTTTTAGGTAACAAAAAATATATGCAAAAAAAATACCCTTAACTCTAAGCCTATCAGATACAAGCAAAATGGAATACTTCACATGCTTGATAGAAACAGAAGAATAAAGCCACACCCAGAGAGATTTCAGGAAACAGAGGAGGAGTTTGATCTTGTGGTTACTGTTGAGGAACGGGTCTATGACCAAGTTACAGAGCGTAAGTTACAAGATTGCCTTCCTTTGTATGTTATTTAGAAACATAATAACATATTACCCAGGGGGGTACTCCAGGTTTCAAGTGACAGGGATGATCGAAAGGGGGCAAAAATCACAACCCCAAAAATCCCAAGGCTTGATTTCCAGCAAAACCCAAAAAAATCCTCGTGATCTGTTGGTAATGTAATAACGAACTGTTGACCCATAGACTGTATTGGCTGACTACCATGACCTGTCTGAGACTGGACTGATACTTGACTAACACTCAACCCATATAGCGACCGATATGTTGACTGACAGACAATTGACTGAGATATCGGCCAATACATCAGTCAACACCCCCTATAAGACATGTTTCCTCATTTCTGCAGAAGTACCCCCCCTAGGCCCAGTTGTTTGAAAGCCGATTAGCGCTTAACCCGGCGTTAACTTAACCCAGGTTTCTTTTTCTGGCATTCAAAAGCATTTTGTTGGGTAATTTTCTCTGTTATTTTTAGAGCTTCCAATCATCACCTAGTAGACAAAAAGAATTAAAACTGAAATGCTTTTTAAGCTTTCAAATCTGAATTCAGATCTCACACTAACCCTAGGTTATCTTAACCCAGCTTTGAACAACTCGGCCCTTATTATTTATTTAAAAATGGTGACAGTATTACTTTTTTATTATTTCGTTGGCGTTGAGGGCTAATTATTATCAAGACAAAATGTTAACCTATTTTTCCACTAGTGTAGAATAAGGTGTATAGTAAACTGAACATATTATATATGTATAGAAGCTGAAACAATATTGACTCAAAATTCCTCTGTAATTAGGATTTTATAGTGCCACTGCGGAGGCAAAGGCAAGATTTAACAGGGTGTCCTAATTTGCCAGAGAAGGGCCTTCAAGACAAAAGCTGGATTGGACCGATCTATCCGTCTCCCTCACAGCCAATTTTTAGTGTTGTCTGCACACAACATTGCGTGATGACTCTAAAGCGGCTGCCAGGGAGACCAGATCTGTCCCTAACTTTCTGACCCCAGCTATCCCTAACTTTCTCTCATTTAGTGAAATATGTGTTTCTTGATGCGTACACTGGTACAGCTCCTCGCACTGGATACAGTGGAACCCCGCCTTACGGTCACCTCCTTATTATGGCCACTTTTTTTGGCTGCCTGGCAAAATGGCCATACATTTTTTTTTGCAAAAGAAAACCCTTGTTAATAAGGGTTACAGTTAAATTTTTTTGGCCCATTGGTGACCGTATTAATGGGGTTCCACTGTATTAGTAATAGTTTTTAATAGCAAGGAGTGTTTACCTTTTGGTACAGCCAGGTGGTTTTATCTTCATAATTTGATTCATTTTTTTCTGTACACGGTAATGGGAACAGGCACCCTAGCTAGCACCCCCTAGGCTACCACCCATTGCGGAATGGTTCTTTCTGAATGCCAGGATTTCCTCACTTGTTTTCCAATCATATTACCTAGTTAGTTTCTCTTTCAGTTGACATTAGTTATTCTTACAGATCTACATTCAAGAGGTGCTCAAAACTATGCGCCAGTTCATGTTGTAAACCTGGACATTCAGGATAACCATGAGGAAGCCACATTAGGAGCTTTCCTTATATGTGAAATGTGCCAAGCTGTAAGTATGAATTCCTCAAAATCAATCCCTTTTAGTAAATTTTACCAATCGTCACTACTAAAGGCTCCTTCCAGAGTTCTGTAGAAGGAGGGAAAAAATAAGTGTTAAGCAATCAATTAGGTTGAAACACACAGAGCATTTTTTGAAATGGCTGTGGCCCCGGGGGGAGACTCCTCATATGAAAGGGGTGGGGATGCTCATCGGAAATTTTGAATTAAACCCCTAAAAGAGACCGATCTGGGCGTAGCCCAAGCTTTGTTTGACCCCTAAAAGGGACCATGTTACAACACAGACAATACACATATTTTTATATTTTTTCACGTGCAACCCTAAACGAGACCTTCACGGCTAAGTATGATGGCGTTTTGCCCAGAATACCCTAAGTGAGACCAAAATCCGAAATTTACACCCCTAAGCGAGACGACAAGCATCCCCACCCCTTTTATATGCGGAGTCCCTCCCCCGGGGGCTGTGGTAGGGTATAGTAATTGTGAGACTAGCAGGGTTGCCTGCATGCTTCCCTTAGGAAAAGTTTTAATTTGTGGGACCCTCTGAGGACATGCCCATGTCACTGCATTCTAAGGAAGCAGGTAAAGAATTTTTAACTATGAGCTAGGATGGCATGCATTTGATTTATTTTCGCCATATTTTGTTTATATCAAACAAAAGTTTGAGGAACTAGCAAGATAGGATTTTATACATTATTTGATGTTATAACAAATTTTTTAAGGAACTGTTTGGAGATTTGTGGGGAGAATTTGTATGTGGATATTAGACCTCAAGAGTAAAGTATTTTGTCTTCTAAAATTCTTAGATTGAGGGCCTGGATGACTTAGAAGATGAAATTGAAGAGGTTATTCCCAAACTGGAAAAGAAGTGGTCAAGAACTCTTCTTCATACAGTAGCTTTCTACTGAATAATTTATAGTAAATTGTATAAATAGATATATATATTTTATAATTTGAACAGTAACTGTTAGTGTACAGTAAAAAGCTCTTGTGTCATTTAGTAATCTTGTGATTCAAAATGTCACAGTCTGTACATAGGCTTGTAAACCAATCTGTCCACTTTAATTTAAAGCAGTCAGCATTGTAGTAATTAAGTAAAGGTTAGTATATGAATTGGTTCACCCTTATGCCTTTCAACTATAGATCAACATGCATTTTCTCTACACTTCTCATATATTTCTTACAGAATCCATAGGGAGAAGTTGTTATAAATCAGACAGTAGATGCTGGAAAGGTTTAGTGCTTAGAGAAGGGGGATAGTTTCTTAGTTACTTCATCACTTATTTAGTCAGAAAATTGAATAACTCAAACATTGAAAGAAAAAAGTACAGCAGGTTTTTGTTTACAATTACCTCGATGGAAAATTAGAGCCAAAAAATTGTGAAATTATCCAAATAGTCGTCACTTGAATTATTTTGCCACTTAAGCATAAACTCCTTTCCAAAAAAAACTAGGGAATCAAGAAATTTTGAGGGTAATGATTTTTAAAATCATGTAATTGTATCACTTTTTGGCACCCTACATTAACTTGTCTTATCCCCAGAGGCTGTGGGCTGAAACAGGCTGTGATGCTTGGTGCAGCTCAGTGGGACCAAAACCATTTCAGCCTCTGTGAATGAGATTGTGTATTGTACTACCAAGCATTTTAACCACCGTGTTATTTCGTGCACATGCTTAGTAGATTTTAGTTCAAAATACTGATGGTTGCTGTTTGCACTGAGAAGGGTTGACAAATTTATTGGTATTTGTTAATTTATATAGGTAACAAGTTTATAAGCATAATACAATAAATATTATAAATTGATTATTTATACCATGTAATGTAGGAACAGCTCAACTGTTCATCATGTAAAATTTTTCGATTGGCTGATTCTTTTTTACAAAGTTAAAGTCATTGGCTGGTTGTGCAATTCTATAAGTTATTTATTCTCCATTTTAGCAAAATTTTGGGCAATTAGCACTGTTTTCAAGAAAATGTGTTTTCGTGTGTTGTTCATTAGTCAAATTTTAGACATGAATTTTGTCACTCGACTTATTCTTAGATAAAGGGTGTTTTCCCCTGCTGACTGACGTGTAATATTGAATTCTTTTTCCAAGAAGTAATTTTTCAGGGGTTAGCTGTTAAGAGCGCCTCAACTCGTCACAATTAAGATCAGTCTTTCCAAGACTAAGACTCTGTGGTTTTCGCAGAATTACAACTTTCAGGCCCATTCTGAATAATATTGTGCGTTTGGTAATTGAGACATGGAAACTGTGTTTTTGGAAACATCAGGCAATTAACCCTATGTTCATGTAATTTCAAATGAACATGCATCATGATTTCTAACTTCCTTTTTCATTGGCCATATTTAAGCTTATATCAAAATGAAACCACATGCGCACATGACATGAAAGAGAAAGTCTCACAATGAAAATTGCACCTACAGTAGATAGCTTTTGCATTATTCCACTATGTATAAATGCGTCACTCTTTTAAGAGTGTGATAATTTTTGGTGAATTGTTGTATGTGCTTTGTTTATTTAATACTTTTGCTTGGAAAAGCTTCAGCTGTCTTTTGTATTGATTAAGTGTCCAATCATATTAAAAGTAATATATTTTGTTTACCTAAGTGAGGAGCTATTCCTCATTCACTTTGAGAGCTTCCTTGTTAACCATTTGTCTCTACCTTCTGCTGATTTAATCTTCTCCATACTTTAGTGGGATTAAAAAATCTTCCAAAGTTTTAGCCTGAATTTCATTCAATTACTTCGAGTTGTTATTACTCCCTCAGTAACAGCAGAAAAACGACTCGAAGCGATCGGATGAAATTCAGGCTACCAAAGTTTTGAGAGGGGAGCTTTTTCAAAGTCCAGCAATTCTATCCCAGGCCTTCTTCGCATCCACCACTTGAAC